CAAGGTTAGGGGTGCCCCCTGAAACTTCAGCACCCACAGAGCACTGGGGGAAACTGGGGGGAGCCCCTGGACCCCTCAAGGAGGGGGGCGGGTGTGCAGGTCAGGTTTGGGGGCGGGCTTGTGAGCTTTGGGAGCGCCCCGGGACCTCCAGATGGGCACAGAGGGGGATGTGAGGGGTGGGGGATGTGAGGGGTGGGGGAGGGCCCGGGACGCCCCCCAAAGGCACAGCAGGGTGGGAGTGAGCTCTGGGAGGCTCCGGGACCCCCGAGGTGCAGGGGAGGTCAGATTTGAGGGGGGTCACTCACTAGACCCCCGAGGTGTAGACGAGCTGCAGCGATTGGTAAATCTTGAGGAAGGGGCGGCAGCCTAGGGGGAGACACGGGGGAGTTATTGGGGGGCCCTGGGGGCTGCCGGGGTCCCTCCCCCCACCCCACACTGACCGTCGGGGGGGTCGTAGGCAGGCAGGGGGGGCAGCAGGACGTGGTGCAGGAACTGGGGGGAGCTGTTCAGGCGGAGCCGCCCAGAGAGCAGAGCCCCGAAATCCTCCGTGTACCTGGGTGGAGGGCACAGGTGAAACCCCAAAACCACCCCAAAACCACACCAAAAGCATGCCAAAAATCCCCTGGAGACGACCTCAACCACCAACTGAAACCTCGCCAAAAATCGCCTCAAAACCACCCCAAAACCACCCCTAAGAATCACCCCAAAACCACCCCTAAGAATCACCCCAAAACCATCCCACAAATCACCCTAAACCACACCAGAAGCTACCTCTAGAACACTAAAACCCATCCCAAAAGCACCCCAAAATCACCTGAAAAAACACCCCAAAACCCCTCAAAACCACCCCAAAAACCATTCCCCCAAATGACCCCAAAACACCCCAAATCCCGCCATGACCTCCCCTGCCCCCCCGGCCCCACACGCCCCCACCTGCGCTGGGAGGGCTGCAGGACCCCCCCCAGTTTCTCCTCGCAGAACCTCCTCATGCTCAGCGCGTTCAGCGCCTGCTCAGGGCTGGGGGGGATAAAGGGGGGGTGAGGTACCCCCAAAGCCCCCGCGTTCCCCTCCCGGGACCCCCAAGACTCCCCCAAACCCCGCAGGATTTCTCCACAGCCCCGACCCTCCCACGGCCCCTTTAACCCCCCCCAGGACACCCCTCACCC